TTCACAGCTACTGGCAGGAAGGGAGCCAGTCCTGCTGGCAGGGGAGCTGCTGCGGGCAAAGGCCTTGGGGCATTCTCCTGTCAGGGCAGCCCAGGGTCCCAGCACGAGTTACCTCCCCTCCACCTCACTTCATTGAGTGCTGTGCCAGGAGTACTGATGGGCACTTGGCCTGGTTTGCTACTGAGCTCTAAGAGCCCAGCAAGCAGGAAACTGGTGCCTACACAGGTTTTTCTGCATTTCATAGTGCTGCTAGAGCGCCTACATCCAGTGGCTGTTTATCCTTTAAGCTTCTCTGAACTCATATCCTGCATGGAGCTTATCACACTGCAAATGTTTTCTAACATTAGCAGCAGCCTTCAGGCTTCCAGAAGCACTGCTCTGCAAAGCTGCAGTGGTGCCAGATCCCCCAAGGTCTTGTAAGCCAGCCCCTCTCAGCCTGGTGAGGGTGGAGCACCAGGCTGTGGGGCTAACACACTCATTTCGGGAGCCCGCATGAGGCCCCATGGCTGCTGCTCTGCTCCTCTGAGCGAGTCAGCAATTAGAAACGTTAAAAGCAAAATGAATGCTAAAAGCATTTAATTAAATGAATATATTCAGAGTTAAACATGTTGCTAAGGCTGATCAACACAAGCATAATGCTAAATAAAGCCCTGCAGGCACCAGGACCTCACTTGGGTGGGAAGGCAACCTGGAATGCCTTGGTCTGAAGGCATGCTGCCCTCCCAGTGCATTGCCCGTTTCCCTCAGCAATGGCAGCCTGCTCAGGGTCAGGAAACCCACCTGGCCCTGCTCTGAGCAGGATGGCTAGTGCTTCCCTCTGAGCCTGCAAGCCAAGGCGGGGAGTAGCCTGACAGCCTCCCTGAGGGAAAAGCGCTACAGAGTGGGGAGAAGCCCACAACAAAATGCTTCTAATAGATAGGATTGGCAACCACCACCTTCAGGTGTGCTCCTTCACTTGTGGAGGAAGTGAAGAGCAAACTCGAGCAGCAGGCACCTGCCCCCGGGTGGGGGCACTGAGGCATGCAATACCCTGGCACTCTTTCCTGGAAACCATCAGACCAAAAGAAGCAGTGAAAGAAATAAAATTTGAACCCTTCCCACCTGGGATGCCAGGCATTCTGTTTAATGAAAGCCCTGCAGAGGGTCTCTGCCCAGCCCAATGCGGTTCATACTCTAGCCAAGTTTGACAGACTGAATAACTTGAGAGAACTCAGGAGAGCAATGGGAGTGGTGATCATTATAAAACAAACACGCCCAAGCAACACGTGAAGAAAGGTTGAAGAAATGGGTTTTAATCCACTGCAGAGAAAAAAAATACAAGGGTGAAAAAGATGCACTTACTGCAGAGGGGGCTGTGATGAGGACAGGCACCAGGTGCACTCTACACTCATTGCAAACAATATAGGAAACACCCAACTCCATTTCCAACAGGGATCAGGGGAAAACTATTAGAGCACAAAACAGAATGAGCCCGACTATGGCAGTGATGTTACAGGGACCACTTCCCTCAGTGGGCTGTAGCTCCCTATTGCTATTAAGAACTGGGGCGAACAGGCCCTGCATGTCCCCCAGCCATGCAGCACTCCCATGTGGCAGCCCCAGAGCTGGGGAGGGGACTGCAGCCTCCCCAGGAGACCTCACCTCTGCTTGTGTGGTCATCACCTGCTAGCGGGAGCTGGGAGAATCCCAATCCCACCCCAAGAGGAAGCTGCAGGCCGAGTTAGGGCCTGTTCCTTAGAGCACAGGGGTTTCCCTGCAGGGCGCTGCTGGGCACTCAGTCAGGGGCTGTGCTGGTGGCAGGGTTCTGGCCATGCTGGCAATGAGCATTAAAGGCTTTGCATGGCCCAGCTCATTGTAGGTAATGGGGCTGGAGTGGGAGGGGAAGTGATGCGTGCAGGAAGCAGCAACACTGTCACCTGAAGGTCCTGAGACACAGATGTGCAAAAAGGAAAAAAAAGCCACCAAAACAGAATCTCAGGGTGCCCAGAGACTAAGCTCACCTTGAGGCAGGAGCAGAAGGCAGGAGTCCATACAGCCTAAAACCTCTGAAATGTCACACTTCGGGGTGGATGGAGGCCACATCTCCTCTCAGGACAGTTGATTTCCTTCTTTTTTTTCTTATCTGCATTTCATCCCATTATCAGGATCCCCATCTTCCAAACACGTGACTTGGCAGTTTCAGTGGTGCAGCTAGGGGCACAATTTCACAGGGCATCTCCCAGAAACACGTTCAGAGGAGCAAGACAAGCCCAGAAGCAAGGAGATGCTGGTGCCCCCTCAGCCACCCCCAGCACAGCCATTGCAGGGCAGCTCCAGATTAGCCCACCCCAGGCTGCAGTTTTTGTTCCAGAGGTGCTACAGAATGGTGTTACCGAAAAGGTCTTGAAACTCCACTTCTAAAAACCACCTGAAGCTGAAGAACTACCCAGAACTGGTTTCCAGAACAGCAGCATGTTCATGCATTTATTCCTAATGGTCTATGCAACCCAATCCTAATCCACAATTTTGTAGTTTATGGGCACAACATGTTCATTTTATGGGAACAGACCTGCTCTGCGCTGGAAGGCTTCCGGCAAGACTATGGCGTTAATTTAGAAGATGGCATTCTTCCCAAACAGTCATTATTAAACCAGCAACCCAATGTTACCTCCAGCATCAAGGGGCAACGTGATGTTGGAGGCAAGACAGAACAAAGGTTCTGGCTCCAGCAATTGTAAGAGAGCTTTAGGGGCTGTTCTCTTCAGGGCAAGGAAATGCAGCCTGGCTCCAGTGCCTGTGGTTTTACTGACCCCAACCTCAGCTGCATTGTGTGGAAATGCACTGCTGCAGAGCTGCCACTTCTGCCCGGCTGAATTGCAGGAGCTATTTTCAGCATCTCTGCCAGATGCAACATCTCCCATGACTTTTATCGTGGAATGGGTGCTTGTTTGTAATCAGCCTGGAAAATCTGTTTCTGAGCTTAATTCCAGAGCTTTGTCTTTGTTGAGCTACAGAAACAACTTTACTCACTGATACAGCTTTCCCGCCCTCTAACAGCATGGGAAATTATTTGCTGTCCTGGGAAATTGGTCACAGCATAAGCCCTCAGGGTTTTGCAACATCAGTGCTTGATGCCACTGGTTTAAGTGCTGAACACACTGTACAAGCACAAGTGGCCAGCCTGAACTGGGAACATTTCTGCTAAAATAACCCATCATTCAGGGAACCTGAATGTAAGCTGATCAGCGGTCCAGGTGGCAATTTTAACAACTCACAGCAGTGGACAAGAGGTTAAAGCCGATGTTAAAAACACAACATTTTTTCTCAATTCTTTTGTGACCGGTAACATTAAAGACCATCTTAACATGTTCCTAACAAAAACAAAATAAAAACAAAAACAAACTTGCTTGAGAAATGTTTAATTTAAAGGCCCTCACAAAATTTACATCTGAAAAAAGAGAGCACCCAGGCTGCGAAGGGCACTGCTGCCAACCTTTGCCTTGCAGTGAGGCTCAGTGGCCATTACAGCATTGCACCATGGTTGCACATGGCCTTACTGTCATTTGGGAATGCAATGTCTCACACTACACCTGTAACAAAACTGAGGCTAACACATCTTCAGAGCTCTTTTCCAAGGAATCTCAAACTTCAGGCCTCCTGAGCTGCTTGGCAATCAACACATGCAGGCAGAAGTCTGTCTTGGTCTGCACTTCTGTAAACACATTTCTTATCTTTTGATTTGGCCCAAACAGCACATAAGCAGTTGCTGTCTGGCTCATGTTCCAGCTGTGCTGCATTAACTGGGAAGAGGATTACTGGAATCACCATCACTAACCTGTTGCTAAGTCTTGGCAAATGTTTGGCAGGAATGAGTTAGGGAACAGTATTTCTGCATAAAGCAGGGTGACAGTCTTCAAGATATCCTGAGATTTCTTACCTCCGAGATTTTGTCTGAATCAATTGTTCTGGAATCACACAAGCCCCAGTGAGCCACCCTCAGCTCACTGCTGCTGTGCACTATGGGCTCTGCCATTCGCACTAGAACACCTCAGCAAATTCAAGGCTTTTATCCTCATCCTTAGCACCCTCACAGGTTCACATTCCACACACCTGACAGAAGCCTCATTTTTGCATGATCACAAGCTACAGATTTACTCAGTATTGCCAGGTTCCTGCACACAGCTTACTGTCCTGAGAATGAGGGAGATGTGAAATCTAAAATTGTTCCTGCAAGGAGTCAGGATGACAGCCAACATCACTGCTGTAGCAGCACCTAATTCATCTGACCTGACTTTAAGAACAACAGCTCAATCATTGCCTTCACATGAATGTAACACCTTTACATTCTGTGTACATGGAATGACATTAGAAAGAACAGCTATTTCCCTAAGATTTGTATTAAAACACAGTCCATTCACTAACACTGAAGAGGGGAGAATGGATCCCCTATGACCAGACCTGAACAATAGCGTAGCAAATGGGGAAGCCCAGATGAGAGGGAGCAGCTCAAGACTGCAAAGCCATCTATCTAGCAGCAGAGAGCCTTTGCTTAGTACAACATCTTCCAGCCTGCTCAAAATGCAGTATCTCAGTTTGTGCCACAGGATGCACATGCTCCAAAAGGACAACTTACTGGAAAACTGAAGGATCTTCTCAGAATTGTGTTGCAGAGGTGGAAACAAACAGAACAGGCATCTCCTATTTCCTCTTATCTAAAGGAACACAAACATTTTTCTTCCAGAGTCACAGGTACTGTGCAAACTGTGCAAAAATATGCTAGTCAAGTAAAAATGGTGGTACCTCATTTAAGTTATGTGTTAAGTAATGAAGAAACAATCCCACCCTTCTTGACATAATGTGTTGTAGTTAGAAGTGATACCTACAGAACTTACTAGGAGCTTCTTACATCTTCTCCTTAAATTTAGAGGCACCAGAGAGCAAGTTCAACATAAGACACTTGAAATCGGAGACTTCACTATGCAAGCATGTTTTCCCCCCAGAAATAATAGATTAGAAGAAGATATGAACATCTTATTTATTAAATCAAATAGAAATGCAAAATATGTTTCACATGCCTTACATGGAAAAAAGATGAACTTCCAAGACCTTAAAGCAAGAGTGTGTCAGTTGACAGGCAGGAAATGGGAACATTATAAACAGTCACAGAGAGAGGAAGGACTGGGGAAGGAGGCGACCTGGGGAAGATGGGCAGTTCTTCCCCACGCTGAGAAAGTTCTCCTAAAAACAGGAATGGAGGTTATGATGAGTAAGCATCACAAGCCTGAAGTTAAAACACAATTATTTGGAGGAAGTTGCCTAAATGAGTACAACTGGCTAATAACTAGTCATACAGGGATCTAATTTATTCATACTGTACTCATATTAAGTGAACATGGGCTTATTTTTGAACAACAGTAGGGACACTAGGAGCATCAGAAACATCCAAAAAAGCTTTTTAAAAAAGCAGGGTCAGCCCATGGCTGCATTCTGTGAGACACTGCTATTAAATTAAGGGGAAAAAAAATTGAAAAATGTAGAAATAGTTCTAAACGTTTTAATTATTTTGCCATCTTCCAACTGTTCCTCCCTCCTATACACAATTTCTTGGAAACTGAAATGACAGTCAACAGTAAATACAATGCACACACCAACATTATATCCCACAGTTTTTCTAAGAGTTATTAGTCCAGCCATTTTAAAGTGATCTATGTGCAAAAAATTAACACGTGAAAGAGTTTCTTAAAAGCACAACAAAAAATCCGCCGCAGCCTTAACAACTCCTAGTCGAAAAAAAATAATCTGAAGTTAGCACAAACATTTCCCAGTGCAGAAGAGATCAGTAACCGCAAGTGTTGTGCCAAATCTGTGCCTTGGTGCTGCAGAACTGTCAGCATCACAAGCTTACCAGCAGCTGGCAAGGAGAAAATAGACCGCACCTCAAAAGAAGTGGGAAAACCACCGTTCACTAACCAGTCTCCTGGGACACATAAACATATGGCATAGGTATGTATTATGAGACTGCTACCTACAGCTGAGAACAGTCATCCTAGCATGACTGATAGTAAATGATTAACAATAAAATGTGCAAGAATCATAAGAGTAGTATTTAAATTATTTCTGACTGCTCAATGCCCCTAGGCCTAAACTATGCCCTCATTAAGAGTGGTGTAAGTCAGGGCAGCTCTGGTAAAGCTGCAGTAAAAATTGCTGTGCATGAGGATTTGTGTGTGAGAAGAACAGTCCCTTGAACATCAGACTAGTTCAGTCCTGACCGCACTACAATAGGGAATTGTGTTTAAACCATGAGTAATCATGTAATCATCTCCCAGCATAGTACTTCTTTTCTGCAGACATGGAATGTAAATGGCCAGGATTTACAACTGATGATTTTGCAGATTTAATGGATTGTATTTCTTTCATGGTTCTGGCAATGTAATCTCAGTTTAAAAAACAAAAAACAACAACACAAAAAACAAACAAACAAACAAAAAACCCAACAAAAACCAACATCACCAAAATCAACCAAACAAAAAAATCCCACACTCACCGCTGTCTGCTTTTTTTCTTTATTTGATGACTCATCTGGCACACATTTAGGGTTCTCTAACAGTGCATAAATGTTCAAAAATATCAAATTACTAGGGCTGGGGTAAGGGTATCCTACAGTTAAAGTCTATGTGTGGAAGATACGCTACAATAGGTGATAAAGCTAAATCACGTTTGGGTAATTCTAAGTCTCTGTCATTAGTCTGGAAAATAGAGCAGACAACCCTGTTCCTGGGCAAGGGCTGTGAAACAAAATAATCACTGACTCTTGTAAAACGTCTTGAGTTTCCCAGACGGAAACTCTGAAGAGAAGCAAAACACCAGCAATAAAGTCACCTGCTGTTTAATGACTCTCAGAAGTTATCGTGCAGAACAGTCAAACATCAAAACTATCCCCAACGCGGAAGGCCAGTGGCACTACTCTCCCTTTTACCACTCCCTGCTACTCAGGACAAAGGAGCCTTACGAAAGCTGGGGTAGAAGAGCCGTGGAACAGGACAGGTCCTCGCAGCTCTGAAGGAGTCACACTAAGTCACAGACAAATCTCATCCAAAACCATGAGGCCTTCAGAATGAAGAATGAGGGCAAACATATTAGGCCCCATGCAAACCACATACCTTAGTGCAGGAAAATGGTGGCTTCGTTTGCTGAGAGTAGCTAAACACTAACAACACACCAACGTGTGTTTCAAGTGCTATTAGAACCGTCCCATATACAATACTTATCTTTGTTTTTCCTCCCACAATGCACTAAAGTAAATCCAGACCTTAAAGAATAACTTGCATAGTAAGAAAAGGTCATCAATTTAATCATTTACTTTAAGCAGGCAAGCAAATTTGTAAACATTCAAAAGCGGCAGCATCCAAGTTACAAACAATTTAAGGAAAAAAGAATTGAGATTATTAAGGTTCTTTTTATCCTCTCAAAAATTTTGGAAATAATCTTTTTAAAACACTGCAAACATTGAACACTCGGTTACACCTCTTATAATCCCACTAGCAGTCTCGCCTTCCAAGGAAATCTGCTTTCTAAAAACGCATGGTCTCACAATAGCCACACTTTTTAGCATTTACTGTTTGGAAGTTAGCTACTTGAGCATTTCACCTCAGCTTAAATCCCATTAGCAAAGGGAATGCTTGTGTCTTGGTTCAATACCTCTTTAACTTCCAAGGGCAAAGTGTCAAAGAGGTGATCTTCCACGACAAGCCCACTTTTCCTGAGAAGCTGACACTGCCCCAACGTGGCTGGCAGACGGTCTAAGCAGTTTCCCTTCAGTTCCAGATGAGTCAGCTGCAACAGTTGACCAACTTTATCTGGGATTGAGGTAATACAGTTTTGTCCCAGACTCAAAGTCCTCAATTTAATGCATTTAAACAACTGTTTTGGCAAAACGTCGACTTTGTTTCCCGTGATGTGAAAATGCTGCAGATTTTGAAGCAAACTTATTTCCACTGGAATCACTGCAATTGAGTTGTAGCTTACATCTAAACATCTAAGTTTCTGTAAACTGAACACTGCGGCTGGTAAGGATTCGAGTTTGTTATTGGAGAGGTAAAGAGACTCTAAGTTCTTTACGTGGGTAATGGAGGAAGGAATGTTGACTATTTTATTGTGCCACAGCTTTAAACAAGTCAATCTTTTTAAGTGCTGGAAACTGATGATTTCTTCAATTGTGCGTATGCTATTTGATTTTAAATCCAGTTCCTGTAAGTTAGAGAGGCTGAAGATGGCATGGGGAATTCTCTCCAGTTCACAGTTCTGCAGTTCCAACTCCGCAACATTCATCATCTTCTTAAGGCTATTCAGTACCACAAGCTTAGTGCCGTCATTATGAATGACCAGTTTTGTCAGATGTGGGGCCACATCTGTGATATTGGGGGGGATTTTGGTCAAATTGCTCTTCACATGGAGAATTTTAAGGTGTCTCAACTCTCTGAGAGACTCAAGCCCTATCATTTTATTATTTTCAGAGTTCAAGTTGCCTATCAAGTACAATTCTCGGAGGTTTTTGAGCAAATACACCCACGCAGGAATTTCTGCGACATCTGTGAATTTTACATAAAGGCATCTCAAATGGTCCCGGAGGAAGCTGAAGGCAGTCTGCTCGACCTTTGCAGGGCAGTGGCACAGATGAAGTTCCTGAAGATTTGTCATCTGGGAGATTTTTGCTGGGATTTTCGCTTCAGGAATCAGCTCCAGTTTTAACACATCCAGATCCGTCAGATCAAAGACTGCATCAGGGACCCCCGATAGCATAAAAAGGTGCAATTCTTGCTTATCCTGGGCATTGCGGGAAACGTGCTGCCGCAGCTTTTCAAAAGTCCATTCGTGGTTCAAACTAATTTCACGTAGTTTGTTCTCACTTACCTCTGACAAGAAGACACCAAACCTTTTAGAATAAAGCTGGTCGTACTGATCCACCATATGCAAAAGAAACGCAAAGTCATTTTTGACATCGGGAATATCACTGAAACTACTCTCTTCTCTGACCTTTTCAAAGGAATATTCTTTTAAGGGTATTCGGAACAGCCAGAAGAGCGTGTAGAGACAGATAAAACCATAGACACAAATGAGAGAAATATAGCTGATAAGCAGCTTCTTCAACATGTAAGCCATGTTGTGAGTACATTCAAACTGCGTGTAGCCAATCAGGTGTTCCACTTTCGGGTTGCAGATGTGTTCAAAACTAATGGTGTTGACAAAGTTTGCAGTATAGCAGAGAATAAATATGAACTTAAAAGTCTTGATGATAGTCTGGCCAACGTAGAGTTTGTATATCAGATCGCTGTCCTCCACGTGAGCCCGGAACTTACGGACCTTCTCAAACAGTGCTTTGGCTTGTTCTCCGTCTTTTTTATCTAAAATAGTGACACTGGGAACTTCAATCATTGGCTTGTCAGCTGAAAATTTGAAGCCAGACTTTGTTATCATGGGGGTGCTGGCACTTGGGCTTCCTTCATCACTGCTAGTGGAAACATACTTGGGCAGGGACTGGGCACCAGTTAACCTCTGTTTGTTCTCCTCAGAGTCCTCACATGCTGTTTCAGACAGTGCTTTTGTAGTCCAAGGGGATTCAAAGCACTTCCCTAATATGGACACAAAATGCTCAATTTTTGAGCAGGTCTTGGGATACTTGAACCAAAAATTGCTACTGACTATTAAAATAATGGTATGGATGAGAACAAGATAGGGAAAATACTTTGAATACCAAGGAAGAGCCAAATGATAGCACATCTGGTTAATAAATACATATTGCTGAAAATCCAAATTTGTTTTGCGGCCTGAAGAATCCTTCTGCTCCTTCTTCAGCTCCTGACTTGATTCAGTGGGTTGATACTGAGGAGAGGTAGCTCTGCTCAGAGGTACATCAGGTGTTACAGTAGGGGCACTTCCAAAAGAAACCGTTCTTGTTGATGCTTCTTCTCCTTGACCAGTGGTTGTTTCAACAGTGGTAAAGTCAGCCTTCCCTGATGTGCTGGGTTGTGCTTTTGAGTTTATAGTAGACTGCAAAACTGGCAAGCAGACCACCTGGTCTTTGGTCAATTGCATGGTTCCAGCAAAAATGGCAACCATTAACATCACAACCGCTAGATAATCCATAAATACATCCCACCATGGTTTCAGGATACGATAGGTTGGCTGGATGTCATTGAGCGATGCAACTTCTGCAAGGGTAAACATTCCTACAAGAAAACAAAAATGAAACCAGTGAGCAGGTTATTTTACCATTTGAAAAACAATCACGCCATGGACATATAAGCTTCAAAAAATGTAAGTTTTCATTATATTTTGTTGGATATCACACGTTGTCTATCGTTTCACCCAATACGCTTCTCTCAAGGGATATGTACAGAAATGACTCATTATTTTAGCATCAAAACAGAAAGATTATCACGTCACAGTACAAGCACCGAGGCCTGGTATACGCAACTGAAATATCTAAGAGATCTGTAGCTGATATGTATTAGCAACAAACAGAAAAAACTGACTACCTTGTATAAAATCTGATTCTGTATTTTTACTGACTGATTTTTTATTTCAACTGCTTGGGTCCTTGAAGATGTGAAATTCACCATTAACTGTTTTTGTAGTACCTTGTAATTAAAGTAGATAGCACTTGCTAGATGCTTTGCACATTGGTCATGACTCGCACAGCATCTTGTACCATCATGAGCAAGGCCTCTCATTTCTTTCTGTCTAACATATTAACAGTCTATCTCCCACTTATCATAGAATCATAGAATCACCAAGGTTGGAAAAGACCTAAAAGATCACCCAGTCCAACCGTTCACCTATTCCCAATAGCTCCTACTAACCATGTCCCTCAACACAAACACTTCAGCATCCACAATGACTACCAGATGGATTAGTCCCTCACCTTAAGTATCAACCCACAAGAGAATGTCTTGCCATTACTATGTGAAAACCCAGTACAATTTTATTTTAGGATGTTTTTTATGATGTTTTATACTGAGAAAGCTACGATGTAGTTACTGGATCAAATGGTAATGCATACAAATATTGTTTCCCCAATTAATGAATCATAAAACGGCTTGGATTGGAAGGAAACTTAAAGATCATCTAATTGTAACCCCTGCCATAAGCAGGACTGCCACCCACCAGTTCAGGCTGCCCAGGGCCTCATCCAACCTGGTCTTGAGCACCTCCAGGGATGGGGCACCCACAGCTTCTCTGAGCAGCTGTGCCAGTGCCTCACCATCCTCTGAGTAAAAATATTTCCTCTTAATGTCTAATGTAAACCGCTTCTCTTCTACTTAGGGGAAAAACAATGTCCTCAATTTTATGGGGAAAATATGTTTTTTATATCGTTATCACAGTGTGGTGATGGTGAGCACTTGCAGATGCTCAGGAAAAGTCAAAATATTAAGAGGCACTCTGAACAATGGATCCAATACAGTACCTTGTTTTGAGCTTTCCTTAAGCCAACACTGAATTTAGACTATTTTAAGTTTTTATTACCTGTTCTTCAAGCTCACTGACTGGAATATTCCTTGGATTTGATATGAAGCCTTTTCACTGCTAATTTTCACCTCCTTTCATGGGTGCCACACTGGGGTTGGGGTTTCACAACCAGCTGTAGGGATGGCATGGCTGAGTAAGAGGCAAACTTGGAAATCTGAGCCTGTGGTTGACTGCATGAGCTGTGACTCACTGTCCTGTGCCTTCTCCCCTCAAGGCCACTGTGGGCTCCATTTACAACATCAGTGCAAAAACTGTAAGCAGGCAACTCAGTAAGTACTATGCAGATGAAACATCTGATTTTTCACAGTAAAAACTCATCCTCATGACACACAAGGCACCAAACAGACCTTGAGCATCAGCAGAAGACACAGAGATCTAGTTCCAAACTGTGGTTCCTGGAGAGAAGAAGCTTTCAGTTTCTGATACGGAATGTAGGGACATAGTCTCCTTTCAAAATAGCACGTTAGTGCAGTATTAGTAAGAACAAATTTTGACTCAAGCCTGTTACAGTACAATATGCAGAGCTGCACAGCTACACAAAATAAGGAAGACTTCTAACTTAAGCAAAACAATCTTTTCTCCAAAACCCGTTGTCTCCAGTTCTGTAAGCTAGATGATTCTCTAGGATAACATTAGACTCCCCTAGCTCCAAATCCAATATCCCCATTCAGCCACTGAGGTGTTTCTCTCTAGAAAATATTTCTTTGATATAAGCTAATATAACTGTTCTAAGTGCAACTGCTTCTTCCTACCTCCTAAGGAGGAAAAATGCAAATTCTCAAAGCAGAGAAATACTATCTCCCTTTCCACTGCTAAAACAATATTGAGCTCTAAAACTAAAACGACCTTGTTTAGTTTGAAATTATATAAATGTATCACAGAAAGATGCAACTGCAGTGAGAACTGACAATCACAATACAATCTAAGTTAGATGCTAAGTTAAATCAGCAAGAATGACAATTAAGTGCATAAGTCAAACTTTCATTAATCATAAGGCAAAGCTATAATAAAGCTCAGAATGTGATTAACCTGTTGAATTTTTCTAATTTACTCCAGACTATAAAATCTGAAATACAAAGTAAATGTGTTGGGTTTATTTCCTAATAAATATTTCAGCTTAAATACAGAAATTAGAGGAAAAGGAAGCAGCAGATTGGTATGTCACTTTAATGTTTATTTACATCCTACTTCTTCCTGTACTTATTGATAAAACTTCATCTTCTGACCCTGTAATTCACTGGCCCTCCTGTTTTAAGAGCATATTTAAAGTTAAAGCAAATTCAAAGTTAAAACAAACAAATAAAAACAGAATCACAACACATAAACCTCTTGTTTCACTCTCAGGTTCCCAAGACTCTGAACAAGAGCACTTTGTCTCAAGAAACAAGAAGATCCTTGAATTAGCTTTGTCACCACAACTGGTCAAGAATTCTTTAAGAATAAAAAAAAAATAACAAAACAAAACCAACACACTTCTAGTTGTAAAAAAAAAAATAGTGCCCTGTCCAAAATCATTTGCTTCCTTCCCACAGGAAATTTTGGAGAAGAAAAGTTTTCCCATAACTTTGCTTTCTTGCTTTTGATAAAGTCACCACAGAGCTCCACTTATTTCCTCTGTATATTTTACTCTCTTCCTACCAACTATTCCTACTTCCTTTGCTTTTCTACTTTTGCAGAATCCTATGAAGACAGCCAGTTGGGCCTGGACGTGCTGTGAACACAGTATGAACTGCCTCTAGCCAGGAGCAACAAGCACTAGCTGATCCACAGACAAGCTGCAACCACCACCACCATGGCACCATCCGGTCTTTGTGCCTCACACAAGGAACTAAATGAATGTATCCTGCACACACAGACGTGTAGCATCTGCCCTACTTATCCATTTTATACTTTAGGCTAAGCAAATTGCTATGGGAAGAGTTATGTGACTTAAAACTAACCGTATTTCAATCCAAAGGTAGAACTTCAGAGATGGTGTACCACACAATGCTCTGTGTGCATCATTAGCGATAACTGAATAAGGAGAATGCAACAAAGGCAAAGGAGATTTCCAACAACAGAACAAGAGTTTCACAATGCCTTTTAAATGTGTAAAATGTATACATTCAAATGTATGGAAAAATACATTGCTGTTATTTGATAGTTGCATGATTAAGGAGGAGGATGGATTAACACCATTCAAACACACTGAGAAATAAAAGAACAAGAAAACCCACCACCAGTACATCCCCTACACCCCTTCACTCCACTTCTTCACCCCAAATTGCACCTCCACTCCTTCACCACATTATAATTTTGGAATTTGACTGAAACAAAATATATCATCTCTCTGACACAGACTGTAAATAAATTCCCCAACTGGAAATCATCATCTTTATGTAAAATATTGACCAGATTGACAGTAAATGAACAAGTAACAAAACACAGTTCCTCTCAGGCTGCACATGCACACGTTAGGCTTCAGTATGCTGGAGACAGAAATAAAATTCTCACTTCATAGAACTAGTTTCAAATTAGTACCCATTTACAAAAATATGTTGTTTTTTTTTTTAAATCTTCAAAAATTCTGCCCCTCAAAGCTGGTTGTATAACACTCTAACCTACTTTTGGATGCTGCTATTTAAGTGTTTACACTCAATCTTCCTTGTTTATCAGCTCTTTGGAAGTCTAGTGCTATACATCACTCCTACACAGATGGTTTTGTAATCAATGTGGTATTTGAGAAGCAGCATTAGCAGCCATAATTTCCCTAACAATAAACTCTCAAATCATACCTCAGTCTTTGCTTGCTATAAATCACCAGGTCTGTTTAAGGATGACTTTCAAGACAGAAGTCCAACACTGCACTGCTGAGTAGCTCCTAAAAGCACCCAAAGGCCATTAACACAATTAAGTTGGCAATTACCACATGTGAGTTCTGTTTCCACAGAGCACAGAAAATGAACTACTTCCCATTCAGCCTGCTGTGCTATTCCTGAACAAGTCTTCTATGACAGGAGCTGCTTTGACCAGAAGTGCAAACTTAAGTTTTTAGTCACATTTATCCCAAGGCTTCAGGATGCAGGTGAGGGGCTCAGCCTCTTCCAGAATACGACTAGTCAGTTTCTGACCTTGAAAAGCTCAGAGAGATCCTAAGGTGAACGTCCAGCAACACTGAGCTCCTTGCTCACACTTTAGTAGCATCAGAAACCACAAAGGCTCTGAGAGAGAAGCCAGGAAAAGGAAATGAGCAGACAATGAAGAGTGGCCCTCGAGCATCCCTCTGCATAGCCAGCAAAGAGCTTGCCATAACAAGTTGTGAGACAGCTCAGGTCTGACAATCACATACACACTCTTACCATTCTGCAACAAGCCACCGAGCAGGGCAACAGGCAGGAATCTAGGAAAACTGATCAATGGAGGCTGGACCCAGCAGGAACTTATGCTTTTTATATCTGCAAGCAACAGTCCATGAGCACATAGAGCACTGACAGGCAATTTCTTCTCTAATGGAGAACATGAATCGTCTGCAGTATACATTTGTCTATAGAAACCTTAGAGCAGAGTAACAAATGGACCTTGAGGATGATGGCAAAACCACGCCTTAGCATAGCTGCACACACCCGTGCCAAACCTAGCTTGCTGCTAGAAACACCACCGCTTACATGATACCAGGAATTCAGCAAGATGCAAAAGCAAAATAGACATCTGGTAATCCCACCCTCCTTTTACCCAAGACAGATACATCACTAGTGATGGCAACAGTGACAGACAGGCAGGGAATCAAACTTGAAAAAGCATTTTCTCTTTTACCTAAGAACAAGAACAGTGAGCAGATGCTTCCTATCTCAGTTCACAGAATTCCTAACACAAATCCAAGCCAGTAATACCAACAAGACAGCTTAACTCGTGTGCACAAAACTCACGGTTCAATGCAAAGCACTTCTACTCTAAATTGATAGTTTTGACTTAACCCACATGGACATAAAACATAGCAGTTACACAACACAGACCGTAATGGCTGCTTGCACTTCAGTGTTAAATGTTTAATTCCTTTATCCTTCCAAAATCTGCTATCCTCATATCTTGCCAGTGATGTTTCTGCAGTGCTTTCCTGACCACCATCAGAAGTGCAGAAACACAGCAAACATCTGGTGCTTCTACTGGCCAGAGCACTTTGGGAATTTATCAAGATGCAGAAGCAAACTACACCAAAATAAAAGCACATCTGGTGATTCCAGTCCCTACAGACAGCTTTTAGTCCCTAAAAAAGTCATTTCAGGAATTGGGAGAGAAAAAGACAAAAAGTATAATGAAATCTTATTTTTAGCTCAGAAATCTGAAAGACAAAACAAATCAATAAGTTAAGTTTGCTTTTACATATGCATGTCCTTGTGGCTACAAAGATTGTTATATAAAATTGCTTGATGTCAGGTAGAAACAGCACTCTGTGACTCATACAATTCCTCTGAAAAATATTCTTTTCTGGTCTACAGCCACACACACTGCCAGTCTGTCTCATCTTGTTGTGGATTTCACTAGGAACTGGGGCAACTTCAAAAGCTGTAAGAAATTAAACTTGGCACTGAGTTGCTCCTTTGGTGATTTTAAGCCACAGTCTGTGAAGATACAAATCTTAATACAGAAGATATTAGTACCTTTAACTACGTACCCAAAACATACAGAAAGACTAGGAAGGAATGTCTACCAAAGAAAACAAAATGCATCACTGATATTCATGTTGCTGCAGGCTTTAAAAGCCCCTCTTCAGAGAGAAGCAACCCCTCCACTCTAACTCACAACACCTAGGAGTCTAGGTTTACTTCGTTTCCAGACCACATTTCCATCAGAATGTAAGCAGGTTTACTGAGTAACTAACACCAGTTATTCTGAATGAATACTTTCCTTATTTTAGTTCTAATGGATGTGCCAGTGACCTTGCACTAGAACATTTACAGCACCTTCACAGAGATTCAGAGCCAAGAACAGACAAAAAGTTCCTTTAACGAAAGCACAGGGTCCATTGTTGCCTATCTGAGCTGGTTCATCTCTGCAGACAGAAGAGCAAACACAGACTCTCACTGGTTTACATATTAAACAGAACTTTCACATATGATTTGCACACACATGAAATACTGCAGTTGAAGTGCCCACACTGGCACTTTCATTAGCTAGAATTTATGTAGGAGAGAGTCACACTTTAACTGAAAAAACTGAAAGAAAGGCAAATTAAAACACAAAGCTGCACGTAACACCAGTCTCCTACTCATGTATCAGAGTTCCTCTGTTCCTGCCAAGATCTGTACAAAGGTGTGCCAGCTCAGCTGAGAACCAGGGTACGAAAGCACATTTAACAGGACAAAATTCAAACTATGTTCCTAATTAAACATCATGCAGCTTCTTCTCTCCCCTAGGAGAAGTGACTTCCTCACTCAAACCAAGGAGTAGCTGTAAAGCCACATCACAGAAAGTACTCTGGACAAACACTGAGCAGCCTCTCACACCCCTCTCCCCCTGCCCCACCTCCCCCATCCCATCCCACAGGCAGACACCTGACAGCAACAGATAGGCTGCTGCATCCCTACCTGCTCTTTATCAAGCAAATAAATCTTCTGTGCTTCAGGCATATTGGTCAGATGGGTAACAACGGTGATTTCTTGTGTAAGAACTTTAACAAGAGATGAATTGTGACTTATTAATGTCTCCACATTCCTGCCAAGCTTCCAATAGCTGAAACTTCAGTGGTTTCACGCCAGGACAAAATGCCTTCAGCTCCAGCATTTATCCTCCAAGAGATTTAAGATTACTATATTTCTTTTCCCTCCACTAAACTTAAGCTCCTTTCTGTAAGAGGTAAGTTATTTTCTTAAGTCCATTTAGTCCCATAATTGTTTGATTCAGGGTGTGTACTTCACTGTCAGTACTTAAGCATAAAAAAAGGAATTACACTACCACACATCACCTGGAGGCTGTCACTTTGAAATTTTGCTAATGGATTCACATCACCTCCTTTCTTTTTATGCAGGATTTTTTTCAAATCCCATTCAAAACGTTGCATTAAAAACAGAAAGAAATGTTCCAAAGGACTTGTAGACTGCAGCATACCTACAAGCAAGCTTCCAGCTCTGCAAAAGGGTTTAGTAAAGCTCTATTGTGTTGCCTGCTGCCAATCACCAGCACCAACATAGCCATTCAGCCTCCAATTTAAATATTTACTATTGCTAAGTTTATATTATGGTTTGACCCAAATGCTCCAGCTGAAATTGTAACCTCTGCACCGAGGGCTCTCGAGCGGGCAGACAACCCTTGCCCCAGAATTCTTACAATCTAAAACTGATTATTTGTTAAGTGATGACATGTTCAGGGCTGTAAAATTCAAAGCAAGAAAACAAAAACCACCAGCCTTTCAGAAAAAAAGTGAAATAACAGTGTTATTAAAAATAAAGTCAAATTTAGTATTTAATGCACTATCTTTGCAAAGGCTAAACATTGCTACGCTTACAGACAAATCAGTTTATAGTTACCTCTTTTCTCTATACTTAGCCATCCTCCTTTCTACTGTTTGAGGATGATGAAAGAAAAGAATGCAAGAAAAAAGCATTAAATGTACCAACCCTTGAAACCTACCTTTTTCAGTCGCTTCTGCTGTATCAAGGACAATGAAAATTCGAGTACGTACTTCAATTTAACTCCAAATAAACAACATAAAAATACAGAAAGGAGAAATGTGACTCCAGCTAATCTGCAGGTATATCTCACTCCTGCTCCAGGGCGACATCCAGCTACCTGCTCAGCCAGCACAAGTGAAAACACAAAGTACTTGCCTCCTGGAAAAGATGCCCCTCCACAACTCCTGCTTCTTTTCCTGTCCCTAGCACCTTGCCACCATTAATGCAGCCATGACCACACGTGCACAATAACCTTTGCAGCTGCCTTCACAGCCATCCAGTCACACACCATCCCACCGACTGACTCCTACAACAGATGTGTAAGCTGGTTGGCTGACCAAATGGGCAAATCAGGTCACAGATGCAGCTCTTCACTTTCTGCAGGCAATGCTTTCCCCTCACCCCAGGTGCTCGATTCCTGAACTAGTTTTGGCAAGTTACTCATCCTTTATAGCAGCATAACTGCCACTCTCCAGCTGCTCTTGAAATAAAAGGAAAGTAGTCCTCTTGTTGGAGGAAAACACATTAGTCAGGTCTTTGTTGTTGCCACTGTTTCTACACATAGCCAAACCAGGTAACTTTCTCAGTGAGCCCAAAAGGCCCTGAGCAAGCTCGAGTACACAGCAAGGCAATCTCACAATGCAGCATTAGCATCACACTGAGCTGGGAGGAAGGTTCTCCTCTCTTAAATTGTCTTCTAGCCCTTCCATCAGCACGCCAAGATTTTGGAAAGCAGGGCAAAGGCAGAAAGCCTGTGCTTGTGCTAGTACCTTATGGCTGATCTCGGAATCCTGGCTCTGACTGTGCCTCCCATAATGCAAGGACTCTGCAGAGCGGTGCCACCAACCTCTTGCTGGTCTTGTGTCCTGTGCAAGGTGACAACCTGGGACTTGTCCCAAGAAAAACTGCTCTGTAACTTCACTTCCAGCAGTATTTCTAGAATCATGTACCATAGAATCATAGAATATCCCAAGTTGGAAGGCAACCACTAGGTTCATTGAGTCCAACTCCTGGCTTCATCCAAACTTCAAACCTTATCTCTGAGAGCAGTGTCCAAATGCTTCTTGAACTCAAGCAGCTGGTGCCACAACCACTGCCCTGTGGAGCCTGTCCCAGTGCTCAACCACCCTGGTGAAAGTGCAAAACCTTTTACTATTATTCAGTCTGGCCCTTCCCTGATGCAGCTCTGTGCCACAGGCACACACAGTCATACCTGATGCCCCCTAAGTGGTGGGGTGGCACAGCCACATACCTCACTTAGCATGAAATAGCCTGGAGGCATCCTGTGACTATCAGGAGACATGCAGGGGTTACTTCAGTGCTCTGTTTACATCTGAAATCAATAACTCAACAAGAAGTAAACACCAAATGGCCAAAAAGTGCCCATACAGTGACCTCAATCACATTTTTCAAGTAGTCTTAAATACCACCAGATCCATTTCTTATGTTTGACTGGTACTTTTTTAACATGAATCCAGTGAAGAACATCAGGACAACCAGCCAGTTGCTTTGTATGTTCCTACTATCTCCTCTGCACACATGGATAGCTGCCTGTGAATGCAGGAGTACTGCAATAATATACATATGACTACATTCCCATAATCATCAGTCATGGCCAAACCAAACCATGAAACCATCTATTTCCTTTATCCCAAAGTTCTGCAACAACTTGCCTTTGACCAAGAATATACATATCTTTTTTCATATGCATGCATGTATATATATATAGATACACGCACACACAGAGGTTGCTCTAAAAGTAATGCCTCCTATTTATTTTCCATAGAAACTACAATAAAGAGCACAATAACTTTATTTGATAGAACAAATTCTCAGCTACAAGACGTTATTTTTCAACATAGTCACCACCATTAACTACACATCTTTGCCAGCAATGAACAAGAGCTTGCATGCCATGCTCGTAAAAATCTGCACCAGTGGAAGTGACCCATTGTTCCACAGCTGCTATGACAGCATTGTTGCTGAGAAAACGTTGCCCACACAGTCTATCCTTCATCAGCCTGATGAGACAGAAGCCAGAGGGCAACAAATCCAGACTGTATGGTGGGTGTGGTAGGACAGTCCAGACAAGACAGGCAATGTGCTCTATGGTCTTCAAACTGATATGGAGCCTGGCATTACTGCGATGCAAAGAGAAAGTTGTCTTCTTATCTGGCCAGACACTGGAAGTTTGAGCCTTCAGCTTGGTCAGTATTGTGATATAGCAGTCAGAGATGACGGTTTGTTCAAGTTCCAGGAAATCCAGAAGGATTATCCATTTCCTATCCCAAAAGACAGTACACATCATTTTACCCACTACGACCTATGTCTTGAAATTTTTCTGCAATGGGGAATTCACACATCACCACTCTATAGACTGCCATTTTGACTCCAGCTTGTAGTGGTGACATCACATCTCAATACCAGTAATGGTGCAATCCAAGAAACTGTCACATTCAACTTCACATTGGTTCAATAGGCCTGTCAAACTTGCACACAGTATTCTTCCTGTTTCTGTGTGAGCGTTCCCAGGATCCACATAGCTTAAACTTCGCAACATTCTAATGTTGCCACTATTGTTTTCAATGCGCTGAAGTGAATATTCAGCTCCTTACACAGTTCCCTGGTTGTAAGCTGCTGATTCACATAGACGAGCTGATCAAGATGCTCTTCATTTTGTAGTGTGACAGCTATGCACAGCCACCCAGAACATGGCTTGTCTTTCACACTGTTGCCACCATTGCTGAAATGCAACACTCTCTGCCTCACTGCACTCATATTCACTGTTTGGTCTCCATAAACATCCAATAAGCATCAAGGAATGTCAGTGGGTGCCATTTTTCCCACATGGAGGAACTCAATTTACGTTTGCATATGCACTCCTAAGTTAGACGCCATTTTGTCAGGGCGCTCCTCTGATACCATCTGTCACATGGTAACAACATGCAATGGGATACTGGCAGGAAGGTTCAATCTCTACTGCAAGCTGCAGAAGCTGCAGGGTTTTTTTGCACATGGACACAGCCATATCCATGCTCACAGTAAACTGATTCTGGACCTCAAGGCCTTTACAGGAATACCAAAGTTAAATCACGTATAAGCAGGCACAGTATGGCTGCTATTCTTGATTTGAATTGGAGAAAGGGAAAAGCCAGTACAACAGCTGGTTATCAGTCAGACAAGCATCTTTCTTTAACTTTAGTGGAAAGTTGAAGCCTTGTCCCAGAATAGGCTTACTGGCTCGCTGTGTTGCTTGCTCTGACATGAGAGTCAGAGTTACCACTGGGTTAAAACATTCTTTATATAACAGATCTTTATGGCAATCCTCTTCCTGACTCATGAGGGGCATCCTCCCTCTGTCTCATTACTCCAAGCATCAGATGCCTTTCACAATAGTGGCACTGTATGCTCTGTGCTCCTTATCCTATCCCTTTCTGCAGGACACGGACCTGGGTCTTGGTCAGAGTTCCTTGGTAATCAAACAAAAAAATCGTAACTTTTAGACAAACATCTACACACTGCTAGTACTTAATACTTACACTGTATAACAGATTCAATTTCCCATTCTGTATCAAGGCCTTACATTGTGCAATCCAAGTATCCTGCCTCTGAAAGATTACAGCCCGAAAGTTCAGTTGAATTGCACCAGATTTCATATTGTATAACATGTCAGGATGATTGAGGGAGGCAACAGTTTCAAGCTTGACTGGCTGTAAAAGGAAGAACCTTTAAGTCTATGCCATGGGTTAGAAACAAAATCCTTTTATCTTCTATATTAGCAACATTTTGATCACCAGAAAAGTCACAAATTAAGACATTCAGAAAGAGTTTTAAAATGTTAGTGTGCTGGAATTACTCCTTATCACGTGACTATTTCATGACATGATTTAGCAAAGATTTCACAGTAGGACATAACCTAGTAGAAAATTCTGCTACTTACATACACACACACACATTTTACAGCTGGGAACTCTTCCTCATATCAGTATGTTCCCTGTGGTTCAAAAGTAAGCCTGCAACAGTGCTCACTCACCCCATCCACACCAGAACCCTTTATCTAGCTATGTGAGCAGCTGCATATATTTTTCAGCAGCACAAGGGCCTCACGGGCTGCAGCCATGCTTTTCAAGCAGAAAGCACAGATGAGGTTTCCACTTTTGCTTAATCTGGGAATAAGAGCTCTTAGACCTCAGCATAGGTTTTGTGCTGAAGCAGTGCCAAATCATTGATTCATGTGTTGTCAAGTTAAGTTAGATAGATTGTAATAAAGCTTTACTTCCATCCCCATAAAGAGAAGATACAATTGGCTGTACACATACAAAAAATGTACAAACAAAATGAGTAATCGTGAAGTAGCTTTAAAACAAAAACAAAACCCCCACCAAAAGTCAGAACTCTCGTGGAAGTAAATGCCAACAGACTTAGACTACAGGATCTTAGTTATATAAATAAGAGTAATAATGAGTCATTTATTAAGTAATCTTTACTGTCTTCAGTCAGCACACACAAAAAGAAATGTGATGATGGCACATTTGAAATTAGCCAGTTACGTACAATAACCTCTTTCTTCTGAGTTGCTGCTTGTGAATAGCTGTAATTTGAACAGAGATCTGAATAAAAATCCCTCTTCCCCCTCACTGTATAACACAGAATCAAAATTAAAGTTTTACTGCAATGAGCAAAAGGCTTAACACGAAAAATTCAAGCTTTCAATGTTGAGCTTGCATTTAAGCTTTACAATTAGCAGTGCTGCAATTCTATTGAGGAAGGCAAAGGTCAGCAAGGGACCATCAGGGCAAACTCAGATTCTCCTATTACACACCAAGGCTATAGCCACCAGCCTGCCTTGAGACAGCTGTCTCTGTCAAAGCCACAACAGGCCACAGGCCTGATCCTCCAGCTCCTAGACAAGGTCTCCCAGCCAAATGTAACTCCATCTCACAGATCAACACAGGCCAAACTATTTCTTCCTAGTAATTTAAGTCACTGAAAACCACACGGTATAAAATTATGAATTACCACAACCATATGCTAGAAACCAACGTGGCCAACATATTAGCAAAGTACAGTTATTTCTCTATAAATTAAAGCCAAGGGATTTCTAGTGTTTTTTTTTTTCTTCTAATACACAAAACCAGATTGCCAGAAGCATGTTCCTTGGTAGAAGCCCAAAGATCACTTAAAAGTCTCAATTTTCAAGATGTCTTAAGACTACATAACTTATTTCATTACTTCCTGCTCACAAACAAAATACA